AAATATACAAATCTTATCTGTAAATAAATACCTAGTTTCGTTTACTGGATACCTGTCTCAGGTAGTGCTCTTATCTATATAATAACTTAAGGAAAATCTTGACTCAATAGGTTATATTACTAAAGTCACCACAAATTTTACCTCAATCTGAAAAAAGTAAAGATGAAAAAAGAAAAGGGTTGAAACAAACCACTTAAAAAGGTTAAGGGTGGGGCCGGCGCTGTGGTGTAGCCAGTAAAGCCATCGCCTACAGTGCCAGCATCCCATATGGGCAACAGTTCAAGTCCCAGCTGCTCCACTTGCGATCCAGCTCTCTGCTGTGGCCTAGGAAAGCAGCAGAAAATGGCCCAAATCCTTGGGCCCCGGCACCCGTGTGGGAGACCCTGAAAAAGCTTCTGGCTCCTGGCTTCAGATCAGCACAGCTCTGGCCATTGCAGCCCACTGGGGTGTGAACCAGCGGATGGAAGACCCCCCCCCCGCCTCTGCCTATCTGTAACTCTGCCTTTTAAATAAGTAAATAAATCTTTTTTTAAAAAAAAGATAAAGGGAAAATGTTTTTCTAATAGATTAGTTATTAGAATCTCTTATTTAAAAGAAAGTATTAAAATTTCATAAATATGCTGCAATTTTACCCACTTACATTCAACACGGTTAATAATTTATTTTAGTAAGACAGTTCATATTCTAAAACTTTTAATTAAGGCTCTGCTTCAGAAGTTATCAAATAATTATTTTTTGAAACAAAAGTCTCAAAAAGGGCTGTCATTAATTAATATGCTCTTGGGGAAACTGGTCATCTTTTTAGTAGTACCAATCAAACTATAATTTTGCAGTCACAGGAAGAACTGAAAGAGAATATATGAACAAAATGATAGATTTCTTTTTTTTACAGAGGGAGAAAGGAATTAATTGGGAAAGCAAGCTCACGTGAGCACAGAGTATTCTCATAAAGCAGCAGCACTCATACCCCCCTCCTTGGCTCAGGAATGGCCGCACAGCCCCTTCCGGTCACTGAAAATCCTTCTGGGGCTTTTACTAGGATAATCCAGACATTCTCTGTTTTCTGAGGAGTTTCTAGTGAGGTGTTTCAGGGGGCCACTTTGGCTACCACATGGCAAGAACCTGACTAAATTAAAGACAACAAACAAAAAAGACGAGAAGATAAGCCAAGATGTGTACAGATGGGAAGGGCAGTTCTAACTAAAAGGTATTAGTAGCTAGATCTAGCCAGTGCTAAAGCTAGGTACATTCCTGAACTTCCCAGCTACCCAAGTCAACAACAGAATATATCTTTAACTTTCTATTTTTTAATAGAAGGAATGCTCAGTATCTCAAATTCCCTAGCTATTTTATTCTTTATAAGAGCAGTGTTCCTGTATTTTACTGATTCCAAATTCTGCTTCAAGTCTTTACTTAGGCCTCTCTGGAAACAAACTGAAATTAGATTAATACCACTTATTATTGCTGATATAGCAGTGTAACCGTTTTATTTATTGAAAGCCTACCTTGCAAATAAGCATTATTGGGAATTATTTCAAGCTGGGGAACTTAAAATATGAACACCAAATTGTGCCTAGTTTTCCCTGCTGATGTGAACCTACTCTACATAAAAAGCCTAAGAATTGTTCAATTACACATTCTGAATTTAAAGATGATACACTGTACTGACATGATGGGGGACCACTGATCTAGAAAGGATCATCAATAATTAAAGCTAAATTTTCCTGAATCCTGACCTGACACTGGAGAGAGCACAAGGAAAGTAGGAGGCTCAGTTATAATCAGAGCTGATTTTCAACGACACTTTTAATAGAAATGTATGGTTACAGTAAACTGGTCCATGGGAGCCACGTGAGAGAACAGTGTGTCAGGGCTCAGAGTAGTCTTGGTAGTTTGGTGTTTCCATGGGAGCAATTAGACAAAGTTTGAATGGTTTGTCCTTTCAAAGGAAATGCAGCGTATGCTTCATATTTGGTTTTCCAGATATAACAAAATGTGAAGAAAGATTAGATACAGCACATTCAAGGTTAAAGATCAAAGAGTAAAAAGGAGAATTAATAGGCTTCCTCTGATCTTTCATTTTAGAGGGGAAACAAAGCCGAAAGTTAAGCCTTATAAAATACCCCTTTAAACAGATACCACAGCAGTTATCAAGGCTTAGCCTTTTCAAATTGGCTCATTTGTCCTTGATCAGTAAGTTTAATGCTTTCTGGTTGCTTATGCAAGTCACATACTGGCAAATACAGAGGAAAGGATAGGCCCTAAGGACAGCACCTCTAATCAATTTGTTTGTTGTAGGAATGGAGATCTGTGGTAAGAAGTAATATAGAAAGCAAATGAAAAATCAAGAGATATTTCACTTTGTGTTTCTATGGGGGTGCAAACTGTTGAAAGCTTTACTTAATGTATACTAAACTGATCTTCTGTTAAAAAAAAAGAAGAAGAAGAAGAAGAAGAAGAAATTATCAATTCCCAACTTGACTCTCACTGGGATTAAACATGACAATAGGTCTGATCTGATTTCATCATCATTTAAAAAATCATCTATTATTTTTCACTTTATGTTTCTGTGTGGGAGCAAACTGTTGAAATCTTTACTTAATGTATGCTAAACTGATCTTCTGTAGATAAAGAGAATCGAAAATGAATCTTGATGTGAATGGAAGGGGAGAGGGAGTGGGAGAGGGGAGGGTTGCGGGTGGGAGGGACGTTATGAGGGGGAAGCCATTGTAATCCATAAGCTGTACTTTGGAAATTTACATTCATTAAATAAAAGCTAAAAAAAAAATCAAGAGAATATTTCCATTCACTCAAAATGTCAAAAATGACATTACAAAGGTCAGAAAGCAGATGGCATTTGTATGGCTAGTAACAAAGATGTGTTAAAGTGATAGCTTCATGGTTAGAAACTTATCAAAAGGGGCACTGGGTACCATCAGAAAATGAAACACTACTGCATGAGTAGGCCACTAAATGCACACACTACAGAACTGGCAGACTTCCCTTCTTCCCTTATCCACGGGGCTTAAACATCTAACACTATCACCAATAAATACTAGTAAAGTACTTTGTAGCTGACAAAGTATCTTCCACCAACATTAATTATCACAAGGGTCTGATAAACAGGTACTATATTTCTGTAATTTTATATGATAAATGTATAATTTGAACATATCAGCAAATGTTATGTCAAGAACACCACCTGTTAAGTGAATTAAATATATAAATAACATTTTGAACATATTTGAGTACTTTGTCCAGTGCTATTTGGCCAAACTGTAGGGTTGGGATTCGAACTGAGATCTCATTACTCTAAATGCAGTGTTCGTCCCATTTACCAGGAAGTCCCCTTTTCTGGATCATTGCTCTTCATACTAGAACGGCCTCCTTCATGTCTCTTGGTATTGCTCAGACTAAAATGAAATTAGCAGGGAGATACTGATGACCAGTAGTACAGACGCACTTGGGTCCTGTGAACCTTTCCAAGGCAACAGTTACTTACTCAGAAAAAGAGCTAGGCTTTGGTCATTTTCTTTCTATGTCAATGGGCTTTGTCAACTCAGTTAAAATGTAAGAAGGAAGTAGGGAGTAGGGAGATGAAACAGGAGAGGGGGAGAATCAAAGATTTAGAGCTGAAAGGGATCACATAAATTGTCTGGTCCAACTCCCTAATTTCAGGAATGCGAGTGATTTCCCCAGATCCCGGGCAGGAAAACATCAGGACTGAAAACCATGCCCACCATCCTGCCCTTCCTTCAGGACTTGGTAACTCTAGCCCTAGCCTAGGGAAGGCATTCTGTACTTTCTCGATACTGGCACTTTGATCCTGAACCCCACCATAAAAGACACAAGGCTTGTCAAAATCCAACTGAAGAAAATCTGCTGGTCCTTGGAGTCTGAGCATTTTCTTTTTTCAAAGCAATTCATTCCATATTTACAGTATTTCTACTATTTATGCTGTGGGGCACCACAATATTTACAGAGAACATGCAGTTCTGCCCAAGAATCTTCTACTTGCTAAGGCAACAGAGCCTCTAAACAACGGAACCATTATAAGACAGTTCAGTTTTCAGTCCAGTGGTCCTCCATGAGAATCTAACACAGACATCAATTTGCTCCCTGCTAAATCCACACATTTTTCCCCATATTCAGAAAGTTAACTGATTCTCTGAAGTCCAGCCGTGAGCATGAGCTAAGCAGCTCTAGTGTAAGAGATTCACCAAATGCCACCATATAAAAATTAGAGACAAAACAGAGACATTCAAGGAATCCTTTTTCTTTCAATGCAAAAATGAACAGATTTTGCATCCCATTAAGACAAAGAAACTGTTTATCCTTATATCATCTGCCTGTCCCTCTACAAACGCTCATTTCTCCTTTCCTAATTTTTTTGTGCTTTATTCCATAAGAATGTGTTGTGTGCTTTCAGAGTTTCTGGAATGGCCTTTCCATGTAGATATGTTTATACACATGCATGCCCACACACCCAACAACAAACTTCATTAAAATCAGAAAAAACACAGCTCAGCTAATGAATTATTCTATTTCAAATTTTTTATCTAGCTTGAAATGCTGTTTTGTGAGGCTTTGATGCCAAAGGGAGTGAAGTCATTAAGACGAGTTATAATACTGTAGCAGGAGCACTTTCTTCTTATTATTTTTTTAAAAAAAGTATTTAGATCTTTTGAAATTTAAATGAATTTCCTAGTAAAAAATGAAAGCTTGATGCATAATAAACACATTAGGCTTAATGTCAAGGACAAGTGAAAGGAAGATAGTTCCTTTTCTTCATATGGAATTGTTGAAATTAAATGTGCTTGAAATCTAAAATAGTGGAGCTCATGCTACCACAAAAAGGCTGCATATGAGACAAGTTTTCTGAACGTTGTCACTTGCAGTGGTGAATGGGAACTTAATCATGTTTGTCAGATGCATTTCTTTCTGCTAACAACAAGTTACCGGAGGACACACTCAGAGAATGAACCCAAACATGTACATACCACAGGTTGTTTTGTGATGTCCACCAGGTCCTTCAGGTTGTAGTACTGGTGCTTCTCAAACGCTGAAAACAGCATGTCTAAAACTTGCTGCTTATCAGCTCGAGCTCGTTTCCCATCTTCTTTCTTTTTCCTTTCATATTCAATCTACACGCAAAAAGTAAAGGAAAAAAGGCATCACTTCAGGGCTCACTCTGAAACACAAGCATTCTCTTCTCAGCTCTCTAACCACTATTAGAATTGAAGTTTGCAGGCAGGCAGCACAACCAGGGGCCCTTGTTGCTCCAAGGGTTCCCCAAGCCTTCAAGGCTCTGCAGCAATAATAATGCTGATCTGTACACTATTTTCTTTATTTCTTAAAGCTTTTTGTAATGCATCTATTTCCCCCCATGGGAAGTTTGCTTTGCCAAGACTGTATCAACTCAGTGTGACTAACTGGTCAGTTCGTGGTGATCAGAAACTCTCAATTGCAGTTTTTTTATTTTTTGATTAACCAAATACAATAAAAATACTTCATCCATGGATGAAGTCTGGTTGGTAACATCTCTCAAATGTGAGATTCTTAAGGGCAGGTCGGTCATGGGACAGGTTCTTTGGGGAGTGAAAAATTCAGGAAGTACTGACAGTAAGGAAAGGAAGGGGCAGTGACCCACGGTACTCATCTTGACCCCACTCAGCTTCCTTAAATTTGTCTCTTCAAAAATAAATAAAAAATTTAAGCTAACAACCTCAAGGGATAAATATATACTCAGCACTCAGACACAAGACCCTTTTCTGAAATCCCATTTTTACCTTGAAGCTTCCTGTGGCCTCTAAATTCAGCAGTATAAAGCACTTGTGTGTGTGTGTGTATAGCTATTATATGTTTACTTCCATCACTGATTTTCAATCTACCATCAGTGACCACAGATCACTATATAACCAACTGCACAAAAATAAATGTCAATTCAAAAAGCACTTTAAATTTGGTTTTCAGATACTAATTTTTATAATCCCCCCAAATCCATCATACATAGATACACACACACACACACATATACTGCGTGGGTTCAAGTTCCAGCTGCTCCACTTCCAATCCAGCTCTTTGCTAATATGCCTGGGAAACCAGCAGAAGATGGCCCAGGTGCTTGGACCCTGACACCCACGTGGGTAACCTGGATGGAGTTCCAGATTCCTGGCTTCAGCCTGGCCCAGCTTTGGCCATTGTAGCCATTTGGGGAGTGAAGCAGTAGACGGAAGATTGATATGTGTGTGTGTGTGTGTGTGTGTGTGTGTGTATCTCTAACTCTGCCTTTCAAAAAATAAATAAATCTTTAAGAAAAAAAGGAAACAATATTCCTTGGAGAAACTTAAGTTCTAGAAATTTAATCCTATATTTATTTAAGAATCAAAGTAAAACAGAACATCACTTTAACATCTTTACTATGAGATAACCTACAGAAAAGACTCTTAAAACAAAATTTTTATAATACAGCATTAGTTAAATCTTTTGTGACAAGGGCTACGACAGGCTTATAATTCAAATTCTCTGTGGTATCAGATAAGTAGTTCTAATGAATACATAAGTATAAAATATGACTTAAATTATTTCCATAGTTATTAAATTTTTAACACCTGATTTTATACTTATGACAAAACTAATTTCCCTGAGGTAACTTTTCTTTTGTAAACTAAGTGGTATGTAACTTGTAATCTTTTCTTTCAATGTGATTTTGACAAAGATAACATGTCTTTTTAAAACTATGATTATTTATTTGAGAGACACAAAGAGAGACACAGAGGGCTCCCATCTACGGTTTCACTCCCCAAATGCCTGCAACAGGCTTAGCTCAGGTCAAAGCCAGGAGCTGGGAAACTCAATCCAGGTCTCCCATGTGGGAGGCAGGATTTCAACTGCTTGAGCCATTACCACTGCCTCCCAGGCAGTGGTATCAGGCAGTTGGAGTCAGGAGCTGGAGCCAGATATTGCACCCAGGTACTTTTGCTATGGAAAGCCAATTTTCCAACTGGTATCATAACCTTCAGGCCAAATACCTGCCCCAAATGGTAATCTTAATATCATACTCACAACTTGCCACTATAAATAAAATTAATTGTACATATAAACTATGATATGAAGTAGTTTAGGACAGACTGGTTTTGATCTCTCAACTATTTTCTTACTGGTACACAGGCATTGTAAGGAAATGATACTCAAAGCAGTCAGATACTTAAAATGATGTAACCAATACAAAATATTAGTAAGATAGTTATTGGGCTAGAAAAGCTATTATATGTTTACTTCCATCACTGATTTTCAATCTACCATCAGTGACCACAGATCACTATATAACCAACTGCACAAAAATAAATGTCAATTCAAAAAGCACTTTAAATTTGGTTTTCAGATACTAATTTTTATAATCCCCCCAAATCCATCATACACATTAGCTTTACTTCCACAATAGAAAATAAATTATTCAAGACTAAAATGCAACCAAATGATGGAAATCTATTGTGCATGTTGTACTGAGTTGTTCAACTGTCATTACTGAAACCTTAATCACTGATTAACATTATAAATGCCACCCACTACCAATTAAAATCTTATAATTCAGATGTCTGTACATTTCTAGATTGTTGTTTGCAGAAATACTTTGATCGTTTTGTCAAGGCAGTCTCTGTGAAGGCTTTTATTTTAACTTTTGATATATGTCAGCCTTGAAAATCAGGGTTTTGCATTTTAAATTGTTATGAAAGATTTCTCCCCCACCCCCTCAACCAATGCTTATATTTATGCTTAGTGTGTCATTCTCCCTTGGGAAGAAATAAATTCTTTCGAATCGGTCAGTCCTTGGTATGCAAATTCAAATGGACAATGCCATGTGTAGTACACATTTATTCCACACAACAATACACAAGCATTGCTGAAAAGCCTTTCTGATCAGGTCCTGCAGGACCCACTTTAATCAGAAAAATTCAAAATTCACACATATAACTTATCTATATAAACAACTTTTCTTTCTAGTTGCTGGAGATTTACCTCAAGATTCTATGTAATAATTCTATTCAAACAGTCGTTCTCTAAGTAAGCTTAGCTAATTCTCTGTCAATCTCTGATCATAACCCAAAACAACCAAAGTGAATTAACTTTGTCTTCTGGATGCTTCGTTTTTAAATGTACTGCACACTGAGACAGCTTTGAACCAGCAATGGCTAATACAACTTAAGGTATACTAACCACAAAGGTCAAGGCTAATACGACTTAAGGTATACTAACCACAAAGGTCAGGGTTACTGTGCCAGTTATTTGTAACTAGCCTTCAGCGGCAGCCACTGTGGAGGTGACAGCAAGGGGCCTGCAGGATGCACTTCTAAGATTCCACTGCTAACTAATGTCCAGCCCTGAGAGCAGAGGGAAAGCAGAAAGAAGAGAGTTTTCCTTTTGCGGATTAGCAGGAGCACCTCCCACCGTGGCAGCCTCCTGATCTCTGATAACCAAGTTTCTTGTGCCTGTTGCACGCTAGTCCTTCCATTTCGCGTTCATCACTCATGCGTAAACGAGTCCCCACACTAGACCCTTTTTAAGTATCTATAGAGTTGTTTGGTTTCTATGACAGACAACTGATTCATCATTAAAACCAGAAATGACAAGCTGTATTTAAAATGATATTAATAATTTCCTTTCTGCAAGAGCCAAGTTCTTATCAGGTCTGATCACATCATTCTTCTGTTTGACAGAATGATGAAAAGATCATTTTTGCAGAGAGGAATCAGTTTTCTACTTCCTGTTCACATTTATCTGCCTTATTCCCTATACTCATTTTTTGGAGAATAAGCTGATACGTAGTATAATCTGTAAATCCACCAAACCTAAAATGATGAAAACATGAGGGTACAATGATCAACGCTTCTGTGTTCTACAGAAAAGACTGACTAGTATAGGGACTGCATAAGGGTGCTGGGTTAATCCATATGGTAAACATCTTTATTTTTATTTATTTATTTAAAGGGAAGGTTTATTGTCGGATGGGGGGAAACCTGACAGGCCGGAAGGAGAGGGCGAGAGAGCAAGAGAGAGAGAAGAGAGCTTGTGTGCGGGAAGCAGGTCCTGTTATACCTTTGCAGGGGCCAGGGAAGTAGGAGCAGTGAACCCCATTAGGGTGAGGGTAGAGCTCATGTCTGTGGTTGGGCCATTTGGTCACCTGACTTCCAACAAGTCAGTCTGGGCATGAGGCCAATGGGTAAATATTTGTTTAAAGTTCATTTCTTTGCTTTAGTAGGGGGAAAAAAACAAGATAAACACAAGATCTAATAGTTTCCCCCTCTCACCCAGTGGGACCCCTTGTAAATCCTCTGATAACCTCATGATTTTCCAAAGTTTGCTTTCACTATTTCAAAGGATGGGGAAAGAGGCAAGCACTACGGTACAGCAAATTAAGCTGCTGCTTGCGACAGCACCCTGTTTCAGAGTGCAGGTTCCAGGCCCAGCTGCTCTGCTTCCAATACAGAATGAATGCTTTCTGAGTGATGAGTACAGTAGGTATCATATCCCACATAATTTTTTAGCTTAAGAGATAAACTTGAATTTAATGCTTAGAATAGCTCCAACCACAAAGTGGCAGCGCAGGAAAATTGAATATTTGGATATTCTCTCTGTTATATATACTTATATGTAAATTTATCTATGTGTCACAGGTGGGTGAAAATTCCTGGGGAAAATGCAAGGAGGATTATTTCTAATCAGATGTAGAGATAAAATTTTACAAATATATCTGAATTTTTTTACTTCCTATTTCTGGCAGTTTCTCTTTATTCTTATTCTGAAAACTGCATTCAAAGACCCTTAACTGTTAAAAAGAATTACTGGATTTCATGTTTATATGGCTCCTCCTTGCAAAACTTTGAAACATTTCAACATTACATTGAATTACATTTATCTAAAATCTTGAGCTAAGTCATTCTTGATGAACTATGTTGAAGTTTCTCAATATTTTAAAACTCAATGTTCCCTTCTAATAAATGTTTTAAAAAACTTATTTGAGTGGCATGTGCTGTGGTGCAGTGGGTTAAGCTGCGGCCTGCAGCACCAGCATCCCATATGGGCTCCAGTTCGAGTCCCAGCTGCTCCATTTCTGATCCAGCTCCCAGCTGATGTGCCTGGGAAAGCAGTGGAGGGTGACCCATAATCCTTGGGCCCCTGCACCCAAATAGGAGACCCAGAAAAAGCTCTTGGCTCCTGGCTTCAGCTTGGCTAAGACATTTGGGGAGTAAACCAGTAGGTGAAAGATCTTTCTTTTTCTCTGTAACTCTGCCTTTCAAATAAATAAATTAATCTCAATACTTCTTTCAGAGGCAGAAAGAGGGAGTGAGAGACATAACTATTAGAGTGTATGTTCCTAACCACTGACTCACCCCAACTGCCCACAGTGGCCAGGGCTGGATGGGGCCAAAGCCAGGAGCCAGGAGTGCTATCCAGATCCCCCACAGAAGTGGCAGGAATCTCATTACTCGAAACATCACTGCTACCTCTTGGGGTCTTGGCATCAGGAACTACAGCTGGGAATCTAATCCAGATACTCCAATGTTAGACATGGGCATTTTAATTGCTGGGCTAAATGCCCGTCCCTGAAAAAGTTTTACTGCTCTGCCCTCCCCTGGAGATTATTTTCTATGGGAATACCTTAGAATGGGTGGGGGTATTTCTGTAGCTTTCAAACACATCCAGTGTTACCATAACACCGATACAAAGAACAGTAGTAATCTTAAGACAATTGTGCTAGGGTCCTACCATGGCTGCCTCTTTCCTGGCTTTCTTCTCCTCATCTCAACAGGAGAAACTTACTGCTCAGCTGCAACTCAGGCAGCCACACGCTCACTGAGATAACACCAGCAATTCAAAGACATTTTATAAAGGAAAAATATCACTCGAGAGCCTACCATCCAAAAATAATGACTTACAATGCTCAACCCACACCTCAATTTTAGACATTTGTTCCTAATCTTTTCCTATCTTAAACAATAGAGGGAAACATTCATTGTATCTACTTTTGAGCACTAGTTTTATTACCGTAAATTGCTACGCAGAAGCTTGCTGGGCCAAAGGATATATCCTTTTATAGAGCTTTTGACATGGATTACTAAACTTCCCTCTGGGAAGCATCTACCTCTTCACAGCTTAGGGAGAGTGTGATGTTTCTTGTCCTCACCGTGATGAAAACTGGTAAGAGCAGAAACTTACACAGAAGTCCGAACCCTTAAGAGGAGGACAGAGTCAGGGAGCTACAAAAGCAGCACAGTAATGAAAAAGCAAAAGCAAAGGCAGCTAAGACCTGTACTACTTTGTTCCCTTTACTTCCACTTAGCTGCAGAAAGGTACAAGTATTCCCATCTAAGAGTGGAACAGACTAGAACAGAAGATAAAGAAATACATTTATTAGACAATAGGAAAATACCTTCCTGGGATTATCTGGCCCTGGTGGCTGCAACTCTCTTTGCTTGTCTTTTGTAGTTTACTTTTCCCTGAGGAACAGCCAGAGGCTATGTGGCTGAACTGTGACCTGCTTTGTTTAATCCACACAATAGAACAATTTTTAAATTTGAATGCCTAGGGAAGGGGCATGTGCACTCCAGCTCCCACAGTCCCTAACATTTACTCTCTTACATCCCAGCCTTCTGCACATCTTAGACACCTGCTTGGACCTACAGGCATTGGCATTTGCTACCTCTCAAAGAAAACTCAAGATCAATCTTAAAAGACTTTATTCCTTCCTAAATTCAGTATTAAAAGGAATCTTAGAAACCAAGTAGGACATAATTTATGCTTCATTTTACTTTTAGGCAACCATCACAATTTGCCTTATATTGTAGGTATTACACATTTAGCACATTTAGCACTGCTAATTACAGCAACTCCACAGACAGTGGTTAGAGGTATGTCTCCAAAGGCAGACTGCTTGAGCCGAACATCTGGACTGGTTGATAATTGCCTGTGTGACCTTAGGTAAGCTACCTCTGTGTGTCTCCGTTAGCTCATCTGTAACATGAGGATAACAGTAGCTACTTTGCAGGGTTGGTATAAAGAGGAAAGTTAATTATTTATATGAAGCACCCAGAATGGCACCTGGCACAAAGTATACATGATGTGGACCATAAGTGTGTACATTATGTATTGTATAATACATATAGGATATGTAAAATTTACTTCAATGCTGCTACTTGGGATACCTATTTCCCATAAGGGAGTGCCAGTTCAAGTCCCAGATGCTCCACTTCCAATCCAACTTCCCGCCAGTATACCTGGGAAGGCAGCAGAAGATGACCCAATTACTTGGGTCACTGCTACCCATGAGGGAGACAGAGGTAGAGTTCCTTGCTTCCTGCTCTGGCCTGCCCCAGTCCTGGCTATTGTGGGCATTTGGGGAGTGAATTGGCATGTGGAAGACCCCCCGCCCCGATTTTATCTTTCAAATAAGTAAATAAATCTTTTAAAAATACTTGGGAAAATTAAAACCATGCAAAGCAATCTTAATAATCAATGGAAAAAATTACTATCTTATGACCTTTAAATTTTATTACCTAGTGTGGGTATTTGGCCTAATGGTTAAGACACAGGCTAGAGTACCTGATTCCAGTCCTGGCTCATGATTTCAGCTTCCTGCCAATGGGTACCCTGGGAACAGCAGGTAACAGCCCAAGTGGTTGTTCCCTGCCACCCATGCGGGAGACTTGGATTGAGTTCCTGGCTCCTGCCCAGCTCAGTCCTGGCTGTTGTGGGCATTTGGGCAGTGAATCATTGGATGAGTATGCTCTGTTTCTCAAATAAATATAAATTTCTCTCTCTTTCTCTCTCTCTCTCTCTCTCTCACACACACACACACACACACACACACACCCCTAGTTGTGGTGGTGGTGTCCAACCATTAAAAACTACTATAGTCAGTCCGGAAAGCAGAAAAATGAAAAATTGGTAAAATATTTACCCAAAATATGATTTAAACATTGAGACCACTGAGAATTAAAGTTTTTTTCTTTCTTTGGAAAACCTTCTCAAAAGTAGTTCAAACAATAGCTGCCTTCTTCTTACTGTGTAATCTACCATATAGAGCAAGCATTTTCCTGTGCTTAACAAACTGTCATATTCCATACTAAATCTGGATCAGGTGCTATAACTCCAGCACCTGACGGCACAATGCAGGACTGTTGGGATCTTTTCAAAACCTAAGCCTCTATGATATGGAAAAGAAAAAAGATACAACAGAATGAAGAGAGACATGCAAAAGACTTACATTGTACTGATGATTAGCAACAGGTTTGTAATTGGTTGTTACAATTTTATCCAGTTGTTGTGATAGCCTTACAGGTTTGGAAGATTCCTCTATTTGTAATCTGAAAAATAGAAGGGGTTATTAATACACTTGTTCAGTAGACTGGAACCTGAAGAGTTAGATATACAATTCTTTTTACTCAGTAAATATGAATTAATACATGAACAGGCAACTTCAGAAAAGGACATCCTGACCTTAACACAATACTTGAAAAAACACACCAGATTTAGATGATTATCATGTAGAAAAAAGGATGGTAAGCTAAAAATACAATGAATCCCCTTCTAACTCTACAATTTACTTCTTTTTTTTTTTTTTTAAGATTTATTTATTTATTTGAAAGTCAGAGTTACACAGATAAGGAGAGGCAGAGAGAGAGAGAGAAAGAAAAGAGAAGAGGAGAGAGGAGAGAGAAGAGGAGAGAGGAGAGAGGAGAGAGGAGAGAGGAGAGAGGAGAGAGGAGAGAGGAGAGAGGAGAGAGGAGAGAGGAGAGAGGAGAGAGTTTTTCCATCTGCTGGTTCACTCCCCAGCTGGCCGCAACGGCCAGAGCTGTGTTGCTCTAAAGCCAGGAGTCAGGAGCTTCTTCTGTGTATCCAATGCAGGTACAGGGGCCCAAGGACTTGGCCATCTTCTACTGCCTTCCCAGGCCATAGCAGAGAGCTGGATAGGAAGTGGAGCAGCCAGAACTCGAACTGGAACCCATACGGGATGCTGGCACTACAGGCAAAAAGCAGCTTTACCTACTATGCCACAGTGCCAGCCCCACAATTTACTTCTAATACTAAATTCTACAAGCAATTCTTAGCTACTAAAACCAAGAAGCTATGTAGTTTTAAATTCCTGGGGGAAAAACACAGGTAAAATTGAATTATTTCAAATTATATGGTCTTCAACTAATCAAGTTTTTAATTTAAAACTTCTATTTAGGGTAGACATTTGGACTACTGGCTAAGACACTGGTGAATGTGTCTGCATCCCTGTCAGAGTGCCTGGGTTTGATTTCTGGCGCCAGCAAATGATTGTTTAAGTGCCTGGGTCCCTACCACCCATTTGGGAGACCTGGACTGAGTTTCTGGCTCCTGGCTCTGGCCCCAGATCAGTCTAGACTCATTCAGGCATTTGGGGGAATCAATCAGCAGATAGGAGATCTCTCCCTCTCTCTCTCTCTCTCTTTCTCTAACAAATCAACAACAACAACAAAAATCTCAAGGCAACAGTCATGTACCCATGATGCTATCCCTGACAAACTCTTTTATTCACACAATAAGAGATAAACAAAGAGAGACTATGTCAGTACTCAAGGTCTATTGAATAGTGGCCTTCTTAATGGACAACACAGATAAAAGAATGTTTCCATTATACAAAGTTCCATTGGAAAACATGGATCTAGAACTACTGTAGGAGTCCATCTAAATTAAAATATAATGTGAAATGCCACCTTAGGAAAAACAGACATAAGATAAATATGAGTCTATTATAACACATCACAAAAACATGATATGGCAGTGATACATACTTATTTAAACAGGAATCTTAGAATATTTTGTGTCATACTAACTATGGCCTGCCAAATTCTGTTATTTACTGCCTATTTTTGAAATAAATTATAATTGAAGAGTCAAATATTAAGTATTTTTGGACAAACATCTTAGGTTTATTATTCATAGATCCTTTCAAAGAGAACTACTCAAAGATCTACTGCAGTAAGAAGGAAAATGAACCCGAAAAGAATTGGTGGAATACAGTGATCACTGAAACTAAGAAACAGTATATAGACAGAGATATAGAGAGAATGAGTTCTTACTGCTTCACTCCCCAAATGCCTGCAACAGCCAAGCAGCAAAGTAGAGAGCCAGGAATTCAGTCCCAGTCATTGGTGGCGGGAACCCAGCCAATTACCTTCAATTACGCCACTGCCACTGCCTCTCAGCATCTGTATTTGTTTTCAGACCTGGCTGTCGTGGGCATTTGGGGAGTGAACCAGAAAATACAAGCTCACTCTCTGTGTCTCTCAAATGAGCAAATTAAAAAAAAAAAGCAGCTCTCAAAGAAAAAAAAAAGCACAAATAATTATTAACATTACCTGCTTTTATAATATTCTTATTACTTAATTCCTTGAATAAAGATAACTTTCTTTCTATTTAGGTGAAGGAGGAGTATGATGCATACTCATTTTTGCATGGAAATGCAAACATTTTAATTCTAATTATTTGTAAATGCAGAACTTACCTTCAAACATATAAAATTATTAATCATTGATTTTTCATTTGAAAGAGTGACACAGAGAGAAGCACAGAGGGCAGGAGGGAGGAGAAGCTGGCTCAGCAGAATTGGGACCTGCTCCCAGGCACTCCAACATGGGATGTGGGCATTCGAAGCAGCAACTCTAAGCCTGCTGTGCCACAATGTCCATCTCTGATTATTTATTTTATAAAGTTTAGCAAAGGACTCTGAAAATGTCTTTAGAAAATTATTGGATATGTAGCCATCAGTAGTAGCAATCACAATGTTACCTTGCTTTTCATGTGCTACATATACTTTTTTTTCTTTCCTTTTTTTTTTTTTTTTTGGTTAAAGATATATTTTTTATTTATTTAAAAGGCAGAGTTAGAAAGAGAGATAGAGAGAGAGAAATCTTCCATCCACCAGTTCACTAAACTGGCTGCAATGGCCAGGACTGTGCCAGGGTAAAGCCAGTAGCCTGCAGCTTCTTATGGGTCTCCCACATGGGTGCAGGGGCCCAAGCACTTGGGCTATCTGCTGCTGCTTTCCCAGGCACATTAGCAGGGAGCTGGATCAGAAATGGAGCAGCCAGTGTCTCAGGCAGCGGCTTAACCTGCCAGGCCACAATGCAGGACCTCTATATACAGTTTCTATGAACATGGATTAAATTTTCTTAAAATGGAGAAGCAACAGCTAGAGTCTAGAAGGGAGATAACCACCCAAGGGTGAAATTGAGCTTTAAGATCCTTTGATTGTCTCTTACTATTCCTGGGGTGCAGCACAAGCTCCTTCACATGACCTCAAGCCCCTCTGGGATCTCATCCCTGACTGTGCTAGGACTGGGTTTTAGAAAGGGAGGCTCTTGTTGGCCACCATCCTACAAGTATTTGCTGTGCACTGACAAATGCCAGGCACTGGATTGGAGACCAGGGGCATAGCAGTATAGACTCGTTCTAAGGAAAACAAATATTAAGCACTGTACCATTAACTGTAACACTGAAGAGGTGGGTGAAGTGTTACAACTCATTGCCTGCTGATATGATGAGGATTAACTCCAAGGTATGAGTTTCAGGATAAGCTAGAAGTGTTGCTCATAAAGAGATGATATGAAAAGATCTGGTAGCAATGAATCTTCCAAGATGAAAGATGTCTCAAAGCTAGAGATAAACCTTTAGAAAGAGAAGTGTGTCAGAAAACAAAGAAATGTTTATGAAGTATTAGGAAAACCAAGCTTGTGTAACTCCTTGAAAATTCACACACACACACATACCTGTAAGAGGCACCCAGTTTCTGAACATCTTTGTGTTCTAATCTAAGCCCTATTCTCATGTTTGGCCTCTCTAAATGGTAATCTATCTGTTACACTGCCTCTAAATCATCTGTCCTGTTTCAAGGGTCTCACTGCAAGATTTGATCTGATGAGACATTCAAGGAGGGAGACAAGCAGCGGCCCCCTCCTGCCACATTGAATGATTGTTCCCGTTAATTCACAATTTGAAAATCCCTCAGGGTTGCAGTTTGCTTAGTCAAGTGCTTCTTTATAAATGGTAACTTATTCTTATCATACTCTTACACTTGAGTTTATTTGTAGCGAGTGCATCCTGATTCCGTTCATGTGGTATACTTTGTTTTTAATTCAAATTCAACAATTCTGAAAGCCAATTTCATCATCCATAGAGTGCCATGCCAAGTACTTAATCTTTTACATAAAGGAAAACACTGACTTGATTTTTTTTTCAAAATAAAGAGCTCAAATAAAAATCTAACCTATTATATATTTAAAAAGTCGACTATATGAGTTTTGTTTTAATTAAAAGAAGACATCCTATGATTCAAAATTCAAAAGGTAATCACTGGACTGAAAACACAACCTATTTTTAAAGAACTAAATCTTAAAATATGTAAATTAACTTAATAATTTAGCACAGTTCTTTCTTTAACACTAGATAATTCATTTAACATTATCTCAGGAAGTGTCAGAACAATTTGCAACTCCATTTCACCAGTGAACAATGTACCTAAATAAGACATTACTGACTATCATTAATAAGCCTTCAAAGTCAAGATAAGGTTTACAGAAAATAATATAATTCAGAAATATTTGGTTTATGGGGCAGGTGTTGTGGCACAGCAGGTAAAGCCATTCCCTGTGACACCAGCATCCTAAAAGGGCACTGGTTTGTGTCCCAGTTGCTTCACTTCTGACCTAGCTCCCTGCTAATAGCCTAGGAAAAGTAGCAGAAGATGGCCCAAAACTGGGAGACTCAGATGAAGTTCCTGGCTCCTGACTTCGATCTAGCCCAACCCTGGCTGTAGCGGCCATCTGGGGAGTGAACCAGCAGATGAAGATTCTTTTTCTCTTTTATTGTCTCTGTAATTCTTTCAAATAAAAGAAAGAGACACATTTGGTTTATAAAACAGAACAGCAAACTACAGAGGTGGTAGGCTGGACTGGGAAAGCTTAAAAGCTTCATGGTTCTAACCAGTTTTAGAAATGAGTCTTGACATTTTCAGAAAATTTAAAAAGTGCTATTTTCAGGAATTAGTAACAGACAAATAATAAATAATATTATTCTGTGATCATGCAGAACAGACATAGCCATGCTAACTTCTAACACCCCTATAAGACAATTCAGAATATACATCCATTTTTTTTTAAGAGGCAGACAGAGAAGTATTCATCTGCTAAATACCCACCATGACCAGGCCAGGGTTGGGCCAGGCTGGGTGGAAGCCAAGAGCTGGGGATTCAATCCAGTTCTCCCACAGGGGTGGGCAGGGACCCAACTACTAAAGCCATCACCTGCCCATTACATTCTCAGGGTGCACAGGAAGCTG